CCCCATCTCCAATTGGAAGCTGGTTTATTCTCTCCCATAGTAAGCTGTTACTGATGTTATTCGGTCGGTGGACATTGAGTAAGGGTAAAATACAAATGTTTAAAGGAAAATCACTTTGTTTGAGTCTTGGTGTAGATATCAACCCTGGGATCCAAGTACATTAAGCTGAAGAATCCAAAACTGGATAAAAAAATCCGTCCTGTATTATTCTGCTAACTATATACAACAAATATACCTGTTCTTTAGATTTATACCATTAAATTTCCCAGTTAGATAAGTCAGGTAGAACTACTACAACCATCATCATCAAAAAGATACAAGTAATTATAAACAATTGTCTATACAATATAATCAATGTCCGTTGGTCGGAAATCAACATCAACAATCTACTGTGAAAGGGAACAATCCAGCTTCCAGATAAAGAGGAAATTAGGAAATGAAGTTAGAAGTGGATAGGACATACATTGAAGAAATCATCAAACTGAATCATGAGGCAAGCCATAACATAGGATCCTGAAGGGAAACGGAAAAGAGGAAGACCAAAGAACACATTGGGTTAGAAAGTGGAAGCAAATATTAAAAGAATGAATAGAAACTGGAAACAGATGGTAAGGATTGCTCAGTACACAGTTGGATAGAGAATGCTGATGTTCCGCCTATACTCCTCCACGATGGTTAACAGGTATAGGTAAATCCATGGTCATGGAAGTTTAGTGGAACTAGACTTTTCGAACCGACCATTCAAATTTGAAGTAGAACTTTTTATCCCAAATTTAAAACAACATAACAAATATCTTATATCCTATCAGAGACAAAGGGAAAATTGAATATTGTCACGTACGTATATCCATAATTATATGTTACATTATAAGTCATATCAATAATCTGTTAAGATAATAACCCTAACCGGAGAGTTTATTCATGGTCAGGATGAAACAGTTCGTTATCAATCATAGCATTCGATCTGTATTAATAAGGACTAGACACACATGACATTGATCACCACCCAGTGATCAATCAATTGTGATTACATCACAGTCCTACAGGAGATCGGTTGCGGCTTGGACAGCTCAGTGGTAACGTCTCTGACTGTGAAGCTGGGTGACACGAGACCGAATCCACCAGGGAACACCAGTTCCCTCAAGGTTACAGGTATACCGTGTTGACGAGTGCCAAGTGGCATGAAATTCGGGTCAAGGCTTTCCTGTCGACTACCTCCAACCACCATCTAATCTCAATATATAGTGCCTGAATTGTCGAGTCACCAAGATTGGTGGCCACATTGCATCACGGTCGATAGCATTCGATCTGCACTAATAATAAGGACTTGACACACATGACATTGATCACCACTCAGTGATCAATCAATTGTGAAGTGTTACTTTTCTGTAGCTTCAATAAGATAGTGGTAGATTATATTGAATGTACTTAAATTGAGTCTCCAAGCTGTCAGTACGATGATTTAGTTACAAAGGTTTCAATATCATCCATTAAACTATATACATTCGATTCAGTGATTAACATATATCGGCTTATTTATATATTATATCTGTTACAGATTAGTATTATTTGAAGGACCAATGAAGAGAATGGAGAATCGAACAAATACATCGTGCTTGTAGGATACTATTGAACAGTAATGACCCACAACCTCTCAGAGAGTCGAACCCAGAATATTTAACCTTCGTGATGATCAGTCATTCCTTAAAACCACGAGGTCAGAGTTCAGTGACATAATTCCAAAGTCAATTCACTCATATGTTGTTAAACGTAATGTCGAAACTGAAAAATAATCACAGATTCACTACATCTTATAGATCATTGTTATTTCTTTCATAAAGATTGTTCTACTAACTCAGAAAACTATAGTCCACATCATAACATGAACTATGACAAATGTAGAAATAGTGAATTAGGTGACATATCCTGAAATCACTCTCACTAATTCAGTTGTATTCTTTACAGTTTCATGTTTAATATCATAGTATACTTCCCTCTTGAAATGCTTTCACATAGCCACTTACATACAAACACTACCAAGGAAGTCCTACTCACTGACTTCTCGCGATATTACTGTTGTTTGCGAAATTAAGAAGACGAAAAGAGAATGTTCGGCGCTTTAAACGGACCTGTGAACACGGAGAGTTAACCTAGGGAAGTTGGAAAATCCTGATTCCAAACCAATGACTCACATGGGCTCCAGGATCTTAAAGGAATAAATGCCATATGAACCAATCATTCTATCACCTACTACTATAAGACTGCATTCCCTGACGTCGCTCGATTGCCTTATGGATTAAATCTTTAGGTCAAAGGCTCTGAATGTGGCCCTTCAAAGAAAACTACCTGCTTCGGTTTGAGCACCCGGTCAGTGTCACAACCGACGCACGCAAATCAAATGATTTACTTGATACCACCTTGTGTTTAAATAACTAAATAATAAAATCAGAGTATACTTCAAACTTAATGGATAGTGGCTAGCAGTAAAATCCAGTTTGACTCACGTTTCGTCCTATTCGGGACTACTCATCAGCTGGATATAACTGCATCTTAGATTTGTTGATGTTCACTCTGATACTCGAACCCAGTACTATTCGCTTCAAACATCATCGCGTTATCCACTTATATACTGATGAATAGGAACTGGATGGAGAATCTTGGTGAGTGGCTTATGCTCCTTCACGAGGACTAACCGAAGTAAGTAAGTAAGTACTTCAACCTAATGTCAACTCTGTGACAAAAGAATAAAGTAGACTCTAAATAATTCAATTGAAAAGTTTATTTTATTTTATTTTATTCATTTTGTTTAGAAAAAGAAAAGGCAATTCATAAAATATTACAATGTTGGTTATCATAGATATATGCATATGTATATAAAATGTATATAACAAATGATGTAAAGATAAGTAGTATATAAGTAGTATAGAATGAACGTCATCATTATGATTGTCAAACTTCAGCAGTAATAAAACTATACTCATCATAATCATTCATTAAAATCACTAATAATAAACAAACAAACAGAGAAAGCCAATAAAGAAGTCAACAACAACAACAATATTAAAAAAAAGATTATTATCGATTATATAAGTGTAATAATAACCCTGAATATGAAAGGTCCTTTATTATTATTATTATTATTATTATTATTATCAGTTCATTCGAATACATAAGTGTATCGTTGAATGAAGGGGGAGGAGAAGGAGGGGGGAACTGATTGATCGATCGATCGATTTCGATATCCCAAAAAAGAATGCGGAACCGCACACACACCCACACAGACACATGAAGAAACATACAGAAAATAACCATAGTAACAAATACTGAGAACATACGCCCCCCCTCCACGCACACACACACACACAATTTTTTTCTAAAAAGAAAAAAAAATAAAATGCTTTCAAAAAATAATTAGATTCATTAAAAGAAGTTTCATGGAGCATATAACTAAGTAACTAAATATTACGTAATAATCATAATCATGAAGTCACCTGAGACAGTGAATGTTGTAAAAGGATCAATTTTGTTCCCCGCCGAAATAGAAAAACAAAAAAAAAGAAAAAAAAAGAAAACAAGATCCTTGATTTCAATGAATTACCTGACTAGTCAACAAATATTTTATTCATATAATCAGAATCATTGTTCATTTGTATAGAAAATAAAGTTTATAAAAAAAAAGAAAAAGAAAAACAAGAATCGAATGAATACTGTACAATTTAATAAAACTGAAACAATCCTGTTGATGATTACTATGGTTATTAATAATACTACATGGTAGGATTATATCAGTAAAAGGCTGAAATAGTAACTAACCAAAAACACAGAGACAGAGACAGAGAGAGTGTGTGTGTTTGTGTGTTTGTGTAAAACTGTCTACTATACGTAGTAAAGCATAAAATAGAAATGAATTGTCCTGAGATATATTCAATTGATCAATAGATTTATGTATAGATGTATTATTCACTAAATCTCAATCTTATCAAAAGTTATAATGCAACAACAACAACAACAAAAAAAAGAGACGGTTAAGAAAACTTTAGTATCCAACATTTAAAGTAGCATTTATACTACTACTACTACAACTACTATGACTACTAACCATACTACTTATATTGATGATGTAAGTTCCATTTTACTTCTTTTTTTGAAAAAAAAACAAAAACAAAAACAAAAAAAGTGACTTTATTATTGAATAAAGAAAGCACAAGGAGAAAATATTGATTGTGTGTGTGTGTGTCTGTGTGTGTGTGTTATACTGTACAACCTGAAAAGATTTTTTTTAAACAAAAAAGGAGCATGGCAACAAAATTGAATCATTGAATTATCATATGTACAAAATAATTGAATGCACATATTATGATGATGATGATGATTATTATTATTATTATTCAATAATCAATAAGATTTATGACTTGTTTGTTTATTGATTTATTGATTTGTTTAAATGCTTTAATTAACAATAAGAATATATGAAGATATTAAATTGATGAAAGGGGGTGGTGGTGTTGGGCATTGGGGGGTAGGGGTTGGGTGTGGTGTGGTGTGGGGAAACACAAAAATTGTATATTACCTGTGTTTTTTTGTTCTTTTAACACCAACAAAATTTTATGTAAAGAAAACGATTTGTTTGGAAAATTTTTTTAAAAAAAAAACAAACAAACCAAAAGTAGAAAAAAACAAACAAAAAAGTAAAATGTTGAAATGGATTGAAAAATACTAAATTGAACGAGTACCAAAAACAAAAAAACAAAAAAAACATGGACAACTAAAATGTAACTGAGATAAACCACCTGAGTTATATAATTAGGATATGCCCAGAGAAACAAATAGAGAAGAAGAAGAAGAAGAAGAAGAAGAAGAAGAAGAAGAAGGAGGAGGAGGAGGAGGGAAAGAATAGATTGTATAGACTTGTGGATAGATTTATGTATAAATCAATTCAATATACAAGTTGTATGAATCAATAGTTCAATAATTTCATGATGATGATTATTCATATTGTTTTAAGCGAATACAGACCATTCTGGTTTAATAATAAATAAACTAGATTTATCTAATGAATCCAAATCTGCCAATGTAGATGAACATACTTGTGGTGAATTATTTAATAATTCATGTAATGAATTCATTCTTAATACCGATGAAGTTGACGACGATGATGAGGAGGAGGTGGATGATGAGGATGATGATAGAGAGATGGAACATTGTGTTCCTTGTAATGACGATGATGATGATGATGATATTGGATGTGAATATGTAAGTGATGATTGTTTACCAATTTTTTGTAATGGTGAAATAATACGTACTGTACGATTTTCATTCTCTAAATGATTATAATGAATCAAATCAATATCAGATCTAATAACATTGTATAATTGTGAATTAGTCGGTTTATTCATAAACGATGATGATGATGATGATGATGATGCCGCTGTTGCTACTGCTGTTGCTGCTGCTGATGATGATGCTATTGTTGCTACTGTTGTTGCTGACGTTATTGTTGTTGTTGTTGCTATGACATCATTGATTATATGACATGATTCATCAAATTCATCCATTTTCATGAATTCATGTTGATTATGACGATATGAATTTAATTGTACATGATCATAATCATTATGTATTGATTGATCTTGTTCTTCATTTGTTTGAAATGTACCAGGTAGAAAAGTTGTAATATCAATCGAATTCATCATTGCATCAAAACTTGAATCAAAATTATCATTATCATTTGTAATAGAGAAATCAGTATCATTTAAATCATTATCAATAGATATACTGCTATTATGATGAAGATGATGTGGATGATGATGATGATTAGGCGGAGGATTTAAAGTAGTGATCGTTGATGAAGATGTAGATGATAAGGTGATGAAATTTTCATTTGTTGATTTCATAATATCAATAGTTAATGGTAGATGTCGATTTGAGGCACCTATACCCTCATCATGCTCATTATGATCATAATCATTATTATTCATAGTGATCATTGTTTTTGTTGTTGTTAATGGCAACGACGATGAGGATGACGATGATGATCCAGTTGATGATAATAATGAACCTGATGATGATGTTGATGTGGATGTTGAAGATGACATTAACATTGATTCACTAAATGGTAAATTTGATGACCAATTATGTAGAATACCTGAAGAATTTGTATTACTTATAAATGTATCATTATTTACAGCATCCATACATTCATCTATACTAATAATATTGGTGATTGTATCTAAATTCTTTGAATGAAGTTGTGTTATTCTTCTTTCATCAATAAGAATTTGTTCTCCTTCTTCTACTTCTTCGTGTACCCTTTGCTCTTCTTCTTCTTCTTCTTCTTCTATACACATATCTAATTGATTTTGTCCATTAAATTGATATATATCCATACATGTTGATTGTTGATCATATGTATTGAAATGTGTAGAATTTGACATCATTTCAACTTGTTGCATTGGTAGAAATACATCACCAGATAATGGTGATACAATTGAATTCGGTGATGAATTACAACTATATGATGATGATGAGGATAATAATTCTGAACTACTCATTAATGGACTATATAGAATAGGTTCTGGATATGATAATAATGATGATGATAATGGTGTTGTTGTTGCTGTTGTTGTTGTTGTTGTTGCTGAAGATGATGATGAATGATTTGAATGAACATGATGATGATGATGTATCACATTCATTACTTTTAATGGTTGTAAAATTTGTACCGATTTCGATATAGCTGGTATCATACGATTACCATTCGTAATATAAAATCGTTTTGATATTGTATTATTATTATTCAATGGAATACCACGATTCACAGAATCATGATTCGCTTGAATGAATGTTGTACCAGGTGGTAAAGTTAACATTAAACCTTCTGTCAATGGATTTTGTCCTTCATGATCTAATTGAATATAAACTGGTGTTAAAATATCAGTGGTTACCATTCTATTATTATTATTATCATTATTGTTCTCTTGAAGTATAAGAGTATCATTCATCAATTCATCAGTTAATTGTTCATCTTTTTGTTCAACATGTAAATCATTTAATTTTCTTGGAAGTATAATAACATTTTCAGAGTTGGATTTAAATTGAAAGCCATTCATTTGAATATAACCATTTCCAATAGTTGATATATTACTATTATTAGTAGTATTGTTAGTAGTAGTAATACCATTATTTGCAGAAAGAAAACGTTGACGTGTTGGTTGATTCCCAACAGGTGGTAATTGTTGTGATTGTGGTCTAATTGGTATAAAATGAATTTTACGTCGTATTGGTGATTGTTTTGTTTGTTTTATATTCATATTAGATAATGATGATGATGTTGATGATGATGAAAGTGATGAAAAAGTTGATGAATATGATTTTGCTGGTGAAATTAATTCACCTACAGCTGGAGATGATGCTGCTGATGATGATGATGAACTATTAATTCCAGATGCATAGGCTGAATCACATATACCAAGTGAAAATTGTTCATTCATTAATCCATTTGTTTGATGATGATGATGTGGATGATGTGCATGATGATGATGATTTGATGACAAAGTTATAAGAGGTGGTAACACTGATGATAAACTATGTATAGTTGGTTTGAATGATAAGGTTTGACTACTGTTAGTAGTATTATTATTGTTATTCATAGGTATACTACTATTATTAGTAGTATTGATAATATTCACACTTAATGGTTTCGGTTCTAATTTAGCATAAATTGTATTACATACTAATTTTGATGGACTTGTCATAAAATTATTCATCAATTCATTATTACCATTGGTAGTTTGACCCTTAACAACAGAACTATTCATAGATGATATACAGGGTATGGAATAATTACGATTAGATAAAGTTGGTAGTTTATTTGTTACAGTTGAAGAAGAGGAAGAAGAAGACGACGCCGATGAAGACGAACAAGAAGAATAAACAACATTGTAGTCTGTACTAGTTTTAAGTAAATTGGTTGGTAATAATTTGCTTGATGTTATCAATTGATCTTCTCGTATATTATTCATTGATATAGATGATTGAGTAAGAGTTTGTGTGGTGTTGTGGAATTGATTTGGATTAAGCATACGCATTTGATCATTATTACTCCTTGATGTATTCGCAGTGGTTGTGGTGGCGGTTGTTGTTGTTGTTGACGATGATGAGGAAGAGGATGACGATGATGTGATTTGTCGTTTTTTAGGTTGATATTTATAATTGGGAAATTCAATTTGATGAATTTTCACTAATCTATTCGCTTCATCATCGTATTGATTACGGCAACTTCTTGGAACAGTACGCCATAAATCTCCTAATTGTTGACTGATAACAGAATTTGATGCATCACTGAAAACACGTAGAACATTACGACGTATATGTTGCGCAAATAGCTATTTTTAAAAAAAAAAACAATTACAAATCAGAATAAGAAATCATCGATGAGCCATGACAAAGAACAAAAGAAGATTTGATAAGAAAAGATTAGCATAACAGACATTTAGTCGGTTAATCTCAACAATTTTACCCCCCCCCCCACCGGCTACTCAAATAGATACATTCTGCAGGAATACGTTAGTATTATGTAAGCATGATGGAACTAATATCTCTTTACAGATTTCAAACCGTGTTAACCATTATGAAGAACGTTCTTTTTATGGAATCATATATTAGATCAAATTAATCAACACATAAAGATTGAAAGAATCTAAACCCGGTGATTGAAAGTCTTAAATAGGAAACTCTTCTTGACAGAGATTGCATTATACTTGAAGCTTTTCAACAAAGTATAACCAAAAGCTTAAGGATAACGATACTCCTTGTGGAATACGAACTCACGTCAGCCGGTATCACATTGTAGCATACTACTGCTAGGGTATTCAGATAGCGATTGACTACATGTGAGATTAAGTTATATAGGGATTGTTAATAATAACTGTCTAGTTCTGTCAGTTCTGATCAAATTCTATCGATCAAGCAATATTAGTAATATGATCTCGTGTTGATCTTGTACAGTCGATTGGACCGACGCACGTTTATACAAGACTCTATGTTGATTGAACCATAGTTATTCTATATTCAGAACTGACTCAAGTTGGAAAATCTAAGGGTTTATTAAATCCCAACTCTAATAGTTTAATCTATTTCATAGAGAAATATTAATTCAGTCTTATGTGTATTTGATCGTGAGTACAATGTCACGTTAATTAGTTGAGTAAAATTGAGTCATAATCTCAACTATTAAATTACTATAGTATCCACGAAAACCCATTTCTGATAGTTATCAGAATATGCTCACTACTGACTAGCTTCAAGAGATATTTCTCAAAGTTCTAATGAGAACTAGTGACAGATGGGATTCAGCCATGTCTGTTGTGACATAGTAACTCACTGAAGACAATGGTGGATAGTGGCTCAATTTCAGGGATTAGCTGAAGTTAGACATTAACATCGTTAGATCCCGGCCGGCTCAATGGTTCAGTGTTCACACGTGAGACTGAATTTGGTGAGTTCGAGTCCCTTTGGTGTGGGATCATATTTACGCACTGTTAAGGAGTCACGTACTATTACGAAACGCTCGTTGAGTTTTTCCAGGTTTTGCATGGTAATGATAGGTCCTAGGTTCGAATCCAGAGAGCGGGATCGTAAATGAGCACTGATGAGGAGTCCAGCAATAGGACGAAACGACCGTCCAGTGCTTCCAGGTTTTTCATGGTGGTCTAGTTTCAAGTGACTTATGATCTCAACTATTGAAATTGCTATAATATCCACAAAACCCTTTCTAATATTAAAACAGAATAGTTTTATAATTGTATTTTAGTTATCAGTCAGTCTCTTATTATTGGCATATGTGTATTCTATTACGAATCGCCACGATATTGCCTTCAGTCACAAGCATTATAAACAATGATGAATGGTGGTTATTATTAGTAGAATCTAGAATGCATGTTTCGTTTTGTTTGAACTCGTCAGTTGAATGTGTCTGCATCCCAGAGTTGATATTCACTCTGCGACTCGAACCCAGTACCGTTAGCATCAAATTCCATCACGTCATCCACTTAGCTATTGAGTTCAGTTAGCCACCAGTTTGTACATTGGGGTGAAGGTTTTACTCACCTTTTATTGTTTATTTGAATCTTCCTATTGATGTTTAGAACTGAAATTGATCGATCTTTTATTGACATATATATTTCCCGAAGTGAATCTCAACTCTTAGATGCAGACTAGTCTTAAATAGGACGAAATGTGTATCTTGGATTCCACTGAATATGTATTCATTAAATAAATCCCCCTCTTAATAACAGAATCTTAATAATACCGTATCTTTAATTATTAGATTATTCTTGTTATGAATGAATGAATGAGAAATAACAATCAAAATAAAACCATAGATGTGATATAATACTATTCTAATTAACCCAAATCAAAACGTGGCATCAGTGCTTGAAATCACTAATTTCTAGTCTGAACTACGTTGATAGATGCAGACTACATGGTTGGGGTCCGCGTGACTATCGTAACCAATGGTTGGAGACTTTGTGTGACATGACTCAGAATCGATTAAAATGGCGTCGGTGTATACACTCTCTGTCTTCCTTTAAACCACGAGATTAAAATCGCTTCATATTTTTGTTTCTACGAACTAATTCTTTCTTCCTGTATTATATCCTTATACACAATCTTTCTTTTATATATTCGGTGTTCATCTTGTTGTATTAACCATTTACTCTACAAGTAATCATTCTTACAACTACGGATATTATTACTGTTTGTTCTACTTTGTTCTTTGTTTTGATAAGTTTATCTCTTTGTGCTATTGTAATGCAGCAACTAGAGACATCCTAATATATGTCGCTCCACTAACGATCGAAGAAATCAGCATGGCCGTCAGACACATTGAGAGTGAGAAAGCAGCAGGAACAAACAACATACAAGCTGAAACACTGAAGGCGGATATAGAAGTAACTACAAAGATATGCCATGTTCTATTCAGAAAGATTTGGGACGGAAAGAAGGATACCTCATCAAGATACGAAAGAAAGGTGATTTAAATAAGTGCGGGAACTATAGAGACATCACGAAAGGTTTTCCATAGTATTGTTGAACCAGATTAAGTATTGGTAAGATGTCCAACTTGGAGGTCAAGAGACTGGATTCCGTAAAGACCGGTCGTGCACAGACCAAATCGTGACGTCGAGGATTATTATTGAGTAATCAATCGAATGGAATTCGTCACTATACATCAACTTCGCTGACTATGATAGAGTGGATAAAAGACCATTATGGAAGCTTCTTCGACATTATGGTGTACCTGAGATGATCGTCAACAGCATATGGTATTCTTACGATGCATAACAGTGTAAAGTAATGCATGGAGAACAGCTCACAGATGCATTTCAAGTGAAGATTGGTGTAAAACAAAGCCGCTTACTTTCACCATTTCTCTTTATCCTAGTGATCGACTGGATCGTGAAGACCACAACATCTGAGGGAAAGTACGGAATACAGTGGAGAGCTTTGATGCAACTAGACGATTTGGACCTCTCAGATGACCTAGTCCTTCAAACCCATACACACAAACAAATGCAGATAAAGATAACTAGTGTAGCAGCAGCTTGTACATCAGTAGGCCTCAACATATACAAAGGAAAAAGCAAGATCCTTCAATACAACACGGAAAACACCAACCCAGTCATACTTGTTGGAGAAACTCTGGAAGAGGTGGAATCCTTCACGTACCTGAACAGCGTCATCGATCAACAAGAAGGGTCCGACGCAGACGTAAAAGCAAGGAATGGTAAAGAAAGTAATGCTCTCCTACAGTTGTAGAGAAAGTTAAAGTCAAAACAAATATCAACCAATATCAAAGTCACAATCTTCAACACGAACGTCAAGTTTATGCTACTGTATGAAGCTGAAATTCACAGTACTACCACAACCATCATCATCGAAGTACAAGTATTTATAATCAATTGTCACCAAAATATACAACAACCTAATGTAGTAGAAGACAAGCCAATTTCTAGACGAAGAGGAAACTAAGGAAATACTCTGGATGTGGATAGGACATACATTGATGAAATCATGAAACTAAATCACGAGGAAAGTGCCAACCTGGAATCCTGAAGGGAAACGGAAAAGCGGAATATCGGAAAACACAATGCGTCGGCAATCAAAAGCATATATCAAAAGAATGAATAGAAAATGGAAGCAACTGAAAAGGATCGTCCAGGATACAGTTCGATAGAGAATACTGGTGTGCCACCTATGCTCCTCCACAATAGGTTAACAGAAGTAATTAAGTACTGAAGTAATAGAGGGGCATACCAGATTCTAAATTACCTTCAACTATGGTAAAAACTACTGTCTAATCATCAGTTTAGATATTTGAAGATTGTTGAATTTCCGTAAAATCACGAAACCATCAATTTTAGACCATCAATGAAAACCTGTAAGCACTGGACAATCGTTTCGTCCTAACATAAAACTCTTCAGAATTGCTTCACACCCACTGGTTATGGTTTCTCACCAGAACTTTGAGCACATGGTAGACATCACAACTATTTATCATTCAACTGAAAATTACCACAATGAATAAAAAAAAGGAAATAAAAAGAACACACTGTATTCATTTGTATTCTCGATTAAATGGACAATTTCCAGGCAAATAATCATGATAATCACAAATGAGTTTCTGTGGATATTCTAGTAATTTCAATACTTGAGATCATGAGTCAACTGAAGCTAGACCACCATGGAAAACCTGGTACTCTTCAGCAGTGCACATCCACGACCCCGTACACAAGATTTAAACCCAGGACTTATCGGACTCACGTGCGAATGCTCAACCTCTAGACCACTGAACCGACATCCAACGGTGTTAATGTCTAACTTCAACCAATCTATGAAATCGTGCCATTGCCCACTATTGTCTGTTGCGATATAGTAACTCACTGAAGACACATATAATCGGTGTTGGTGGGTTCGATTCCCTTTGATATGGAATCGTGGGTGAGCAATGTTAAGGAGTCCCACAGTAGGACAAAACGGCCATCCAGTGCTTCCAGGTTTCCCATGGTGGTCTAGCTTCAATCGACTCATGATTTCAATCTGCGAAATTTCTAAAATCTCCACAAAACCCCTTCTGATAATAATCATCTGCTCACTCTAGTAGTGACTGACTTCAAGAGATACTCCTGGAGTTCTAGTGAGAACCAGTGACCAGTAGAGTTCAACCAGGTTTGTTGTGAGATATCAACTCACTGAAGACAGTGGTGTATGGTGGCGCAACTTCGTGGATTGGTTGAAGTTAGTCATTAACATCGTTGGATGCCGGCCAGCCATCTCAGTAGTCTTGTTGGTTAAGCGCCTGACGCGAGACTGATAGGTCCTG